ATTGATTAGTAATCTCAATAAATATTTATATAATATAGTATAAGTATCTAACTAATCAAGTAAAAAGATTCCATCACCGGAAATTAGCACAATTACAATTGTCTCAATAGCAATATTTCTCTTATGGGGTAAGCAACAAGAATACAAAAAATATTAACAATTTGTGCTATATATATATATATGTATACATATATGACTAATTCACATATACAAGATCAGTTATCAAAAATTCAATATAAATTTCTTATATGTATCATTAAATACATATGTATAAATATGTACATAGGTATTGAAATTTGTCTGCAGTAAGGAAGACAACAACAGGACTTATGGATAATTATTTTAAGAATAATATAAATAGACAATGCATTGCACGTAAAATTGATAACAAAACTAGAACAATGAAAACAACGATGACAGAATTTCTGCCCTGGTTCCTACCTTTAAGCTCATCAAAGTCTACCAGACTCAGCTGAAGGTTACCTTTCTCTTCCTCTAATAATGCCACTTGGTTCCCCAATCTGACAAGTTCTGCATTTGTATCAGACACCTAAATTACAAAATTACATGTAAATGAACTTCATTATTATTTTAAGTAAGTATACTTCCAAATAATTGATCAATTTAAAAATTATATAGCTTTGAAATGATTAATAAATTTTTGGCCTTATAAACTTATAAATTAATAGTATTAATATATTTTACCTTTTTAAAGTTCTCCAACTGTTTTTGTAGGCTTTTTATTTTACTTTTATGTTGTGCTTTAATTTTAATCATACTCTTATTTAATTCTTCCAATTCTTTGGTAAGTTTCATCACTTTTTCACCTTCTTTAATTGTACTTTCTTCTGGCAATTTTGCCACGATTTCATTTTTTTGTTCTTCAAGTTTATGTACCAAATTTTCAAGATCAGTTATTTTATTTGAATATTCTTCATTTTTTAATGTTAAATCTACTACTTGATTTTGCAATTCTGCTTTAGATTCTTCTTCAAGAAGCTTATTAGATTGTTTTAACTCTTCTACTAAATTTTCAAGTTCAACTATTCTATTATCCTTCTCCATTATTGCACCATTACCATGCATAGATATATTTACAATTTTATCTTGTAATTCTGCAACACCTTTTTGTAACTCATATTTTTCATCTTGCAACTGCTTATTATTATGTTCCAATTTTTCCAATTTAAACTGCAAATCATCGACAGTCGGATCTCTGACTATTCCAATACCAGATTCCAGTTTAAATACTCGTTCATTAGCTTCTGCTAACTTCAACTCATAATCTTTTAACTGTTGTAATAAATTCTCATTTTTCGCTTTAAGGGAAGATTCCATTAGTACAAAATTTTCTTGCATTGATTTCATTGCTTCTTTAGTTTCTACCAAAGCATCCATTGTGGAACGAGAAAAGTCAGCACTTGCTGACTCAGACAACTTTTGCTTGTTAATTTCTTTCTTAAACCTAAATAAAGTAATAGATAAAAGAAATAATAAATAAATATATTTTAATCAGTTATAAAATATATTTAACAAGTTTATAAAATTACCCATCAACCGAATTTTCTAGTTCTGTTATTTTATTATCCCTTTCTTGCAATTGTATTAAGAGATTTTCATTCTTATTTTTCAGGGATGTCTCTAAAAGTACAAAGTGTTCCTGCATCGTTCGCATTTCGTCTTTCGTATCTTCGAGAGTATCTAACGTCGTTTTGCCCTTTTTTGAAAGATCTGCAGACATAAGGGTAACTGCCTTTGTCTTAGATTCAATAACAGAGTCTTTTTCTTTTAAATTTTCTTGGAGATCCATAATTGTAGCTTCAAGCTCCAAAATTTTATTAGTAAGTTCTGCAATTTTGTTTTCTTTTTCCTGAATACTCTCAATTTGTATTGGCGACATGACCTATAATTAAAATATTAAGTGTAATTGCCAATAGCATAGTAAAAATACTTATTATTGAAAAGATGTAAAAATTATTTGCTTACATCAGAAGTAATCATGACTGGTTTAACAGGGGCAATGGATGATAATTGATCCCTTTGAAAACCCACTACTGCCACATCTTTTTCTTCTAATTGTTGCCTAATAGCTTCTACTTTCTCTTCAACTGCACGTTTAGTTTCTATTATTTCTTTGTTACGTTGTTCAAAAGCTTTTCTATTTTCTGCTAGCTTCTTTTGGAGTAAAGTAGACTTTGCTTTTGCAGTTTTTGCCTGACTAATATCATCAATACTTCCTTCAGATGTATCTGCCAAAGATGTCTCAGATGTATGAGTTACATCTGTAGAAGTCAAATTTCTTTCTCTACTCTTACGTGACAATTTAGCTCTGGATTTAATTTTGGAAAGTCTCCTTGCATATTCCTAAATTTAAATTTAAATTTTCAATGAAATATTCAAATCTTTTCATTAAAATTTTATACATTAATATTTATTACCTGAACTTCCTCTTCTTTCTTTTTTAAACTCTGTTTATTTTTCAACATAATTTCTTTAAGAGATTCTAACTGGCTTTTATTTTGTTCACATTTTTCTTTCGCATGCGCCATAGATTCAGATGTTTCCCCTTCCGTGCTTCCTGGTGGTTCTTCTGATGCACCCCACATTGTAAACTGTAGAATTAAGAACAATAAAAACCACTTCATTATAATTTGTATAAAACAAACATAAACTCTTTTAAATAAGAAATTATGATGTCAATGGCAGTGAAAGTTTCTATAAAGTGGTCAGACAGTGTGTCACCCACTGCTCTCATTTTTATAGACTAATTGGATGAAAGCTAAACGGGGGTAAACTAATTGTATTATCTATATGTATAGATATTGAATGTCAGAATATACACGAGTTACCTTGTGGCATATTTAATGCTTACAACACAGCATTTAAGTAGGAACTTTTTCAATGACATCTTATATAAACTATCAGATAAGAAATATACTAATATTATAATCAGACTTATGTATTGTACATAGATATTTTCATTAATGCGTACTTAAATATCACATATATTAATTTTAATGTATACATATTATATACAACAATAAGAAATATACATTTAATATAAATCTAGATATAAAACTTTTAGTACTTATGTATATTTAATATGAATTTATTTTTATATATCAAAACATTTATACAGCTACAATATAAAACATATATAAAACATTTATATATTTGCTTAATATAATATCAAAAAATAATTAAACAAATTCTACATACAATATTCTAAACTGAAATTATAATATGACACATATGGCTTTCTAATGAATAGATAACTGAAGAAGTTAACCTCAAAATATGTTTAATTAGAAAAAGAACATGATATACATAAATTACGAAGTAAATAGATAATATGATAAACAATAAATAAAATTGCATAGATAAGTTTAAATAGTAATGAGATGACGTAATTTATGTTACAAGAGAAAAGTACATATTCTAACATTCTTTGACATTAAAAACTAGGAATCATATCAAAATAATTGATTTTCATATATGTTCTAAATAAACTTGTATTTTTATAAGAACACAAAGTAATTATTTTTCAAACTGTATTTACCTTTATTTATATTTCTGAAATTGTCAAGATGGAAACCCGTTATCATTCGTGCACATATTTTATTAAAGTATTTTTATCACTCACATCTTTATGTAATCAATACCAAATCCATTCATGTCCATATTTCATTAATTTTACAATATTTACAATAATTTTACTAATAAGTACATAAAAATACCAGGTAAATTGTAATCCTATGTCTCAAAATGTAAAGTCTACATTACTCCCTTTACATACGGAAGCAGTTGGAGTTTGAAGTGTTGGTTGGATTTCTTAAGCGCATATGTGCTGCCACATTACGGAAGTCTTTATGACTGTTAGAAGATTTAGAATAACAATTTAAAACTTATACAATTCTATTCCGAATATATTCCTTAATTTTTCTTCATATATTAGAACTTTCATTTTTATATTAGTGAAATACAAATTGGAAACCTCTATTATGTACTTACTATGAAAACCATAAATTTAATGATTTAATTTTGCAATATTTTATTAAAAACTTTAATAAAATTGTTTATATTTGTCAGACAAGATTATGTAGGGTATAAACATACCACAATTGTAAAAATATAATATTGCATAAGTATTGTTATTGAAAATAATTTTTTAGCAAGATTCACTATACCATTTTTTATTCATGGTTTAATAATATAGGAGTATATTTAATAAATCGTTCATTAAAACTAAACAATTTTTTATACAATTTTTGATTCTTTTATTATTTTGGTATAAATAATTAAAAATTTATCTGTATATTAATTAGTTTTTATTTTTTTACTTTTATAAAATCAATAGTCAGTTTATAATAATTGGATTATTGTATTTTACAAATAATGAATTGTTTAACTTCAGACGATCATTTAACAGTAAAAAAAATAATCCTATTGTAACCTACCACGTACGTTTCAATATAGGTACATACATCGTAAGACAACAGGTGATAACAGCTGATTCCTATGTGCGTTGTGCAACAGAAAACATTTCAACACCTATAGAATAGCATGCAAAATCCAGATACTCTTTATAGCGCTCTTTTTAAATATTAGACATCTAACAGTAAATACATAGTATTTATTAACATTTATTAATTAATTATATAAAAAATAAAATAGGAAATGAATGTGAATGAATAAATAGATTTCAAATATTATTCTAATCTAGTTTCTTTCTGTTTTAGCACGTTGATGGTAGTCAGCTCTACAAGAAAAGAAAAAGACATAAGTACAGTTCTAACCTAATACGTATGCGTAAACGCAGGTTTCATATACACATGTATATATAGATTGCATTGTACACTATAGAATACGGTTTATTATATATACCCATCTATACAGATCTATACACATCTATATATATATATATATATATATACACACATGTATATATATAGTTGTACACATGAAAGTGTATGTATATGTATACGTATATTCGAGCTGGAGGTACGCGCTTGGTGCTACGGCGCATTTGCCAGTATCAACGGTCTGCGTTTATCGACTATCATGTATACTGTGGCAAATGCGATCCATTGACTTCAGACGCAAGAATTTCCGTGGCTTTTTCATTAAACGCTACCATCTTCAACTATGATGGACGTGCAGAACCAGTTCAAAGGTAGGAAGAGACCATTTCGATTTCTTCCTGTTGAAACTTGAATAAAACACGTCGAAACAAGTCGAGTGAATCTACGGCGGCACTGTGACAGTTACCACAAGCAAAACCATAATTCGTTGAACTGTATGTTTTCGTTTATTAAGTATAGTTCATTGGCAGTTGATTGTACTTCTTTCACCTTCTCTACATTTTTTTACTTATTCTACGGTCTCAAATGTGATGTCGATGTATATGTGTATGTGTATGTGTCGATATGCATTCGATTATTGACATACACTTTTGGAGGGAAGAAAACTGTAGGCGGAGATGTAAATAAACGCGCATTAATTGATCAATTTGGTCTTTTGTCTTTTGCTCGCTAATAAGTTTGATTTGTATAGCGGTTATCGTAATTATGAAAGGAAATTATCGTTTCTATTTTACCAACTTGTCCATAGCCACGATCACAGACACAAGGTGAGCGATATGAATTTAATCAATAATGAAATTAGTATTTTCATCAAGACATTAACATGACCCCGCTTATCGTATCATGCAAAAAAATAAGGATATATACACCGTTCCCACTGTGGAAGCTTTTATTTACAATATATACAGGCAACGTTGATATGAACGTAGATTAAGCTATTTATTTATTTGTGTTAAATAAATCCTTTACTCTAGTTAAGTAAGTAATCCTTTTTGTTATAGAGAGATGAATGTATCATACAATAGTACCAAAGTTATAAATTAATTTCGAATTAAAAAATTAAAGTTATTCAATATTGAAAACATTTTAGTATCACATATAACCATCAATATTTTTCAATTTACGATGTACTCACTTCTAAAAATAACAGAGAGAACCTTTTTTTACAATAAAATAAATACATTTTCGAGCACGCAAGAAGTAAGTACGTGTTGAATGTATTAAATAGTCTGCTTTAAATTTCTTTATGTAATGTATTAATTAATTCCACACATATTATCTAATTATTGCACGCAAGATATAGACACGTAATGCTTTGTGAGTCGAACTATGTTCCAGACAAAGTAGTATATATCCATAATTCATATTATGCAACAGATTATTGCACAGATATAAATCAAATAAAATTATAATTGAACTGTTTGAAGATACACGGTGCAATAGGATAAATTATGCGAAAGCAATGTTTGACCTTAATCGGGTTAAATTGTCACGTGCGATTCAATTTTCGAATCAAGTCATATAATAAACAAAGTTTCTTTATTGTAAATATTTTTAACAGAATCTAGCAAAAATGTTTAACGATGTTATGAAATTCATCTTCTTCATCTTCTTTTTTAACAAAGGTTCATAACTGAAACTATACTTAATTGTAGTTACAATTAATATATATGTACATACTTCCTTATGCAATTATTTTATATGTACGTTACACTATATACTTAATGCAAATAAAATGATGCAATATTCTAATATTTCATACTATTTCTATAAAAAATATATATTATTGAATTTTTTGTATTTCTATTACTATATATACTGTGTTGATGCTTGCAGATTATGAATGGTAGTTCAGTTTGTATAATGCTTACACGTTATATGTATTTCACCTTTAATCTAGCTCGACATTTAAGGTAGCTGTTATATGCTTAGCATTTGAATTATATATGTTCTCTCTAATATAACTTACCTAAGCCTTTAACCCGTTTATGGAGTTTTAAGCTTGACCAACTAGTTAAAACTTTGAATTATTTTATTTTTTTATAAAAGCAAATTTTTATATAAAAAATTATTGTCTATTTCATCATTTTTAAGTAAGTGCTATAATGTTCATGTAGATAGGGCAAGTAAATTAAAACTTAAAGAGCATCTCTTAATTATATCGTTTAGATGTAAAGTAACGCGTTCGGTGACTCGAATATTCACGAATCAAACAACGCTGGTCGTCAGGACGTCACAGGGGCAAGGGAGGCACTGCTTTCTATCGCTTACCGTTACACGTTGCTATATTGTTTTATCTGCATATGTGACACTTTTGGCCAATACGCGTGCTTATCTTTATGATCGTGTTGAGTCTAACAGAAATAACCAATCGGACCCGCATTCTTTCCATCTGCCAACTTACCACCAATGCATTATACATACACTGTACTGATGAGTTATGAAATGTTGCAATCTAAATTTTTAGTATCACAGTTTTAATACTTTTCATGTAAGCTCATGTAAGCATATTCTTCTCTTTAGTTGGAAATTAGTTATTTTTATTTGAATATTTATCAAATAATTTAATGCAGAATGACTTGTGAACAATATTTTAGTTTTACACATTCTTTTAACAGTGATTCATTTAAATGTGTACGTTCATATTTGGAATACTTAAGCGTCAACGAAAATACATTGTATATGCTCTTTGTCATTATGACATATAGATATATACATATGTATATTATACAAAACATTGTAGTTTTATATGAAAAATATTTACGAAAATAAGAACTAAGATTTGTATAAAGCAAGAATTCCATGACTAATAGGAAAATATTTCAAAAATAATTAAAGCTATGGACTTTGTAAAGGTAAATTTGACGATGAAATTATTTTTCATAATAAAACTGGGAAATATAAAGATAAATCAATTATATGAAAACCGTTCTTATAATTGATTATTTCCGAGAAATTTTTAATCCAAAAGTTAGAACATCTGACAAATCTACTGATTTAACTTCCATTCAAAATATTCCAAAAGTCATCATCAGAAATCAAACATAAACATGTTTAGTAGCAGTTAATGGACTTTTGACGATCTAATATTTACTTCCACAGACTAGTAAAAGATTAAGTGGTACAAGTAAAAAGGAGCGAGTGGTGGAGGGGCGATTATATTGTCTGAGGTATAGTTAAGGATGAAAGAACACGAGTTTGGCCAGTATGTGTCACTCGACAACGCAATGCCGTACATCAAAGTCTGAACATAAAAGTGTGAATATAAAAAGTGCGTGTTTTAATCAGATCCTGAGGACAAGTTTCACGATGGCACTACTCGAATCTTTTTTTCGACGAAAAGGTATAATATCAATGAAGACAGAGACGAGTATATGTCTCGAAACGTGAATAAAGCGTGTCACTGTGCAAATGTACATTATAAATACATACTTCGAATTCTCCTTTCTTCGAATCCGCGCTTTGTGATACATACCATGTGCGAGATGTTCAGTGGAGTTTGTGAACCAAAGAGGGAGCTATGTATTTACTTGACACGTTAAGGAGACTTTCTTCGAATCTTGTTACGAATACATTGCGGATATTTATAAAGTGTTTCGACAATAGCAGTACGACCGGGTAGGGGATGATTCTTCGTGAAAAAATTAATCACAAATGTAGAGTAAAGTTTTTGCGTGTGATACTTTATTTTCGAGAAAATCAAGTTTGAAAATTTGACAAGTATGCTTGAACTTGTATAACTCTGAACTGAACAAGACTAAATTATCGACATAAAGTTATTCTGCATGTGACAATAAGTAAGAAATGTAGAATACAATTTTTTCGTAAGACTTTTCGTTTTGTTTTCAAGAAAACTAAATTTGAAAATTTATTATGCGCCTATACTAAGCCAGTCCTTAGCCAAATATGTTCAAACTATCTAAAAACTTTTTGAAAACAAGGTTTGAAATGGAAAAATTTTATTTCACATTATTGTCTTATTTTCGCATATAGAGTAATCTCCTACCGATTGTCTCGTATTCATACCTAGTCTCTGATTAGCCGTTTAAATATACTTAACAAATTTTGAAACTCGATATTCTCAAAAGTGAAGACTCGTACGCAAAATCTGTACTGTACGTTTTCGACTCAATTTTTCACGAGAATTCGTACTACAAAAATTTTCTTCACCCACTATATATCATACGTAATGATATATTTTACATATATTTTCTTATATATTTTTGATGTAATGTATATAAGTACACTCTATGCATTTTTGCATCTTTATATTTACCATAAATGCATAAAAAGATAAATATAAATATCTTCAATAATAGAAAATGATAAATATTCGAAATAAAGATGATGAATACGAAATCTATCCATACTCAAAAACTCTATCTTAGAAAGATTACTATAGTATTATAAATCCTATCATTGAATTATAGATAAAACAATGACCCGGAATCATTAATGCTACACAAGGAACTGTTACCAAAGAAATTGTTGTAGAAGAATCTAATCTTCGAAAGATGTTTGTAACTATAATATGAACATTAAACAGAAGTTGCGAAATATGTCGCAATCGTAAAACAAAAATAATTTTTCATTTTAGATCTGAAATTTTCACGATGGAAATTTTCCATGTGTTATTACATGTGCCGCAATGATAAATTTTTCCGTATGAAATGTTAGATTTGAAATTTTCACGATAGTGAGATATCATGCTATTGGTTTTTCGGAAAGGAGCTGTTACACTTACAATACGATTATATAACAATGATAATATCATAACTTTTGAAGACTTATAACAAACAAATATAACAAGTACGAGTATCCATGGTAAATTACAAATCAATGTTACGAATACGGATTAACACAAATATGTCTGTCAATATTATCGAGAGCGGAAAAATAAACTTCGAGAATTGATGTATTTATTTTATAAGTGAAATCTCATTATGTTTTCAGAGCTCGTGAAACTTTCACCCTTACGTATTACGATATTATAGCAGAAGTCGCTTTTTAACGTGACTTGAAAATCCTACGTCTGACGATTTATAGAAATTATTTTAAAAAATTATATATATATAAAATTATATATTATCAAAACATCAGCAAAAGACATAACAAAAGCATGAAATATTTATGTGCCTTGCATAAAAATTATTCGATTAGACGAACAAAATTTTCCAACACAGTATATCCATTTATAATTAGTTTTATCCGTTCATCTCATCGCACTACTACAAACAACGCATTACTTCATAATCAGTCCAAATTTTATGAGAAATCATTAAGAGGATGTGATTTAAACTGATGTTACTGTGAAAGATAAACTAAATTTTGTAGTATATATATGTATATATATTTTAGAAAATAAATTAGATGGCATAATAGATAGGTATATTTTAAAAATTAATGTACATTGAAAAGATTGAATAAGGGAAGATAAAAGGGACTTTAAATAAACATTAGCTAACAGGAAGGAAAATCGAAGCACGAAAAAGCCAAGGTCATGTTAATCTGGTTGATGCGCGATAAAATGCTCAATAGATAGCAGCAGAATGACATGTCTAACAAATGATTCATTAAAAAAAGAAAATGAGTCACATAGATCTTTAAGCTCCACTTCGAGAACAGTCATATATAATACATTATATGATGCACTATTCGAAATCATATTGTTTCATCTAATGAGATTTTTATTTTTCTTCTATCGCTTCAAAGCTGTAATCTGTACGATACCTCATGTATATATTAAACAATACTTAAATCAATTTGTGAATACATTACAATATGGTTCTACGTGTATTTAATTAGATCTTGACGTACAGGATGGCATGTTCGTAGTTGATTTAAACATTGATGCCATTCGTTAAGACAACAAGCAAGGCATCATCTATCACAAAATTTACTGTATTAATTTTTATTGTTAGCCATGCATGCGACCTTTTCTGACTGCCATGTATTTATTCATTTTTTGCTTGTTAAAACATCTATAAGATAGTTTAATAAAAAGAAATTAATTTTATTTCTTTTGTTTTAACGGTATAAAGTAGAAAATCTTTAAATATCAGCAGTTTATCGACATATTTTTTTTATTAAATGTATCCGTTTATAATAGTCTTTTTTATGTTTCATGTATACTATTTCCGTGTAAAAATTGTTATATTTTGTGAAAATGTTGAATTCGTAAATATGGTATGGCATGGTATATAATAATTCGAACGTCGATAATCGGCTTCATGCAACTTGTCCGCGAACACGTTAAAAACGGTAATTGCACGTAATCGCACGTTTGAAAGGGCTAAAGTCGAGTGGCTGTTCAGTGCATTGTCGATCGAATCCGGGTTATCTTGTATAACGTCCTGTTGTGCAAACGTCGCGCCGTCTTTCCTCACACACTTTTATTTGAAACCGAACTTTCTTCCATTACTATCCTTTTCTGAAACATAATAGGAAACAAAAAAATTATACGGGATAAGTAACTAAAATAAGTAATCGCTCGATGTAATTATTAAATGTGAATTTGAATTTTTGAAAAAAACGGCGAGCTTAAGTAACAATAACAAGAAGATCAAAGAATATCTCTTCCAAATTACATAAATTAAATGCCATTTGTGATGATATAAAATTGATGTAATCAAAAGAGCTATAAAAACTATACATAAAGTTAATAACAATCTGTTCTTTACAGTGACGCCTGCAACCGGCGATGATTGTAAGAATCAAACACCACCAACTTTGCTTTCGAGTTTAAGAAGCGTCCTTTTCGTAATCGGAACCGTAGTGATCGGGTTTGCTGCGTTCTGCAACTCGTTAACATGGTAAATTCTAACGAATGACGTATACAAATATGGCTACCGCATTTTTGCAATTCGATCAAATACTAAGAGATATTGTTACCTTTAAGATTGAACGACTCATGTTTACCATAATCATTTCACTGTTTCGATCCTTTCATTTATTAGGCATTTACAAAGATTTTGGGGAGCCTCTGGAGATTTCTGGCAAGCGCAATGGGACAAAATCTTAGACAAATTAGGAGACGATCCTGTCACGCTTTGGGTTCATGGTATATCGAGATAAAGCAACGAGAATATATACAATATACAGCAGTTCCTAGATAAGTACAATCTAAAATGAAAAATCTAGTTCGAGATCGATTGATGATGATGATGTCATCGGAATTGAATTTTATCACAAAACTATTTCAAATATGTTAGAGATCTTAATAATAAGGATGATGATACACTTCCATGAAACATGATATACGATAATATACAATTAAGTTATCTTTTATTTCCTCTTTTTTTATTTAAGAAAACAGATATTTATACAAATATGATATTTTATTATACGAGAACAAAAACAAGATCTACTGAAGAAAGAAATTATTTGAAACTTATCTTGGAACATTCTTGTCGTCTTACGTATGTTTACCAATTTCTTGCAAAAATGTAAAAAATTACAAATTTGGAACTAATACGTTCCAGGCTCATTGGGACTAATGTTCTTCGTATATTGGTTCTTCGGTGGGATTTACACGATTCTAGACATAACTAATCGACCGGCTGCTTTGCGGAGATACAAAATACAACCGGGTACGAACGAACCAGTCGACACGAGGGAATTGTGCAAAGTAATCGCTCAAGTACTATTCAATCAGATCATTGTTGGAGTTCCTCTAGCGTGCGTCAGTTATCACTTTATGGAATGGCGCGGTTATCCGCCTGTACGCGAATTGCCGACCTTCCACTGGGTGCTCGTTGAAATCGCCATCCACATATTATGCGAGGAAATTGGATTTTATTACTCACATAGGTATGCAATTTCTTTTTTATCCCCTATTAAGGTATCTTGTTAACTTTGCTCTTAAGTCGCTCATAAAGCTTCATTAGAAAACATTTTACCGTTAATAAATATGGATTATACGAGATGGCCTGTATTAATCCCTAAATTAATTCATCTTGAAAGGTACGTATACTGAGTTAAAAGAAAATTAAATGTGCCAAATATCAGTTTCTAAATCATTCTTGTATTATTTTTTGTACTAAATCTATTTATGTGTGTAGTAGATTAAAATGATTCATTATGTGCATTGCTTAAAGTAATTAAGGAGTAATACTTTTGTATAGATAAACAGAAAAATAATTTTTAATTATCTTACTAAGCAATTAAAATCACGTTTGAATAAATGTTCCTCTGCATTATTACGTATGTGTATTACGTAGTGTTTTATATGGCTATATTGTTGTAAACAAACTTATGTAAAAGTAAAATTACATTACAGATTTCTGCATAGCCGTTATCTCTATAAGTATATACATAAACAGCACCACGAATGGACGGCCCCTATAGCTGTAACATCGCTATATTGTCATCCTTTAGAACACATTGGCTCAAATCTATTACCACCGTTTTTGGGAGTATTCATCGTAGGTTCTCATGTGGCTACTGCTTGGCTTTGGTTCTCGCTTGCTATTCTCTCTACATTAAATGCTCATTCTGGTTACCACCTACCGTTCTTTCCATCTCCAGAAGCTCACGATTTTCACCACTTAAAGTAAGTAATTTTCATACATTTTTTTTTTTTTTTTGAGATTATTTATCCTTAACATTAAATAGATTGAACTGAGTTGTACACGCGCTAATAAAATAATTTGTTTCCTTTTTTACTAGTATTTCATAAGTCTCTAGCGATATAAATATATTTTATATGGAAGTTTAATATTGAATATTGGACTTATTATATTTTAGATTTAATCAATGCTTTGGAGTTTTGGGAGTATTGGATCGAATTCACGGAACAGATACGCAATTTCGTAATTCCAGAGCTTATCAACGTCATGTAATGATGCTTAGCTTGGTTCCTCCAAGAGAAGCTTTCCCGGATGAAGTGAAGTATAAATCTAAGTAGAATGTTTTATCGAACATCGTGATTAAATATGAAAGTTCAGTACAAGAATATGTTTAATATGGAAATGCAGTATAAATACTTCTACATTTGTAGTATTTTTCTGTTTCTTTCTTCTTATTTTATTAATTTTCGTGGAGAACAATCGATGAATTAAATTTAATTAACAAGATATAGTAGAAGTTAAAATTTTTTAATGTTTATCGTTCGTCAACTAAGTACTTTTTTCTTTATGTAGAAACTGCATATTTTTCATTATTATCAGTTTGTAAACAGTTTCAATTACTACAAACTTTACAATGGTGCGATTGTAATATTATTATTATTAAACAATTTATCCGCGTAAACAATTTTTTTGTATGAAAACACGACAAATGTAACTTTCTGAGAGTATTTATAACGAATACTTTCAGATGTAAAAATGATCGTTCTAAAATTATAACGAAAAGAATTTTACCATAACTTTAATGGGCGAATTTTAGATTATTAGAATATCTTTTTTACGACAAATACATTGTTGGGAAATTTAGAAAGATACTGAGTATTTCATCTGGATATTACCCTGTTAATAATTACATGACATAGCAATATTCTGAGAACATCTACTTAACAAAATTATATTTATATTGAAATTACAACATTAAGATAAAGCTATTTGTGACAATTACTATTTTTATATTTAATTCAATAATAAAAGCAATAAATATTTAATCTAAGATGAAATTACGATTGTAGTATTATAGTAAAAATTATAATTGCTGTAGATTGTTACTAGCCATCAAAGATTATGCACTTTAAAGCTTTAAATTTGCAAAATAAGTCAAACTATTTAAAAGTATTGAAGACATTAATATCAATAACTTCTTTCTCTAATCAAACTTATTTATATACTAAAAACACAGATCAAATCACGGAATTGAAGCTTCATCTATTTTTTCGTATAATAAATTTTTACATGTATGAATTAAATTAATACATGTATACAAAATTATATATCATATTTATAACTGTCCTATAATTTGTTAACAATTATTATCAGAAATGGCTACATTATTCTTTGTCATTATAAACTTTGTAATTTATATGCAATGCTAATATGCATAATTTTATGTATCTACATAACAAGCTTACTAATAAAAAGAAAAAATCAAAACTACGAATTTTCTTTAATATTAAAATGTAATTATGATATATAACATAAAAGATAATATAACGTAATATATAATGTAAAAAGTAATCAAACATTTTTAGTTACAAGTATTTATATTTTATAAGAATATGAAAGATCTTGTTACATATATATATATATATATAAATAATTATTGCTTTATTACACCCAGATAACATACAAATTTTATGAACATTAAATAAACAAGAAGTTTATAAAATTTAATCATTACTAATAACAATTGCAAAAAACCTTACTGGATAAAGTAATTACATAAATCATTGCTTATATTTTCTATAGTATAATAAATTTACAAATGGACATTCAATTCCTATTCCATTCGCATGTTTACAACAATAATTATTATTTTACATAAACATATCTTTCCAAAAATGTAAATAACAATTAACAATTATAGGAATTAAATTGAGATATCAAATTATTCAAACCAGATACTTCTTTGGTGAGCTAGATATTATTATTTTACAATTCGTAAATTATTCTCAAGAGCATTATTAAATTTAAAAATACAACCAAGATATAGTGAGAAGGAAATTATATGGAAATAGAAAAAACCAATTTCCTTTAATGTGAAAACATTTTCATACTGTTATCAGAAAAATTTTACTTTGAGTTATTAAAAGAAATTATAACAATACTGTTCTCACGATCAAATTTGTAATAAGTTTATTTCTCTATTGAGAACTTTTTATGATAAATTAGCATAAGTTAATAATAAATCATTTACAGATAAAATTATTTGAGTAAAACCATTAATCTCAAAAATTATTTTAATGTACATTTCTTCACCTATAAAAGTTATAAACAGGTTAATAATTATCTTACAAAATAAGATTAAAGTTTAACTTTGAAACTACTTTATTTGTACAAATCATAAAATACTGCTATTGTTATAATTGTAAATTTGTTATTATTTCCATATTGTCTTTCCTAAGCACCATTTATCCAAATTTACAAAGATGAATGTTCAAATTTCATACATGACATAGTATATATAAAATAACAAATCTCATATCAAGGCAGTAAAATAATAAAAATATATGTAGCAAGTTATAGTAAACCAAAAAATTTATAAGTATTTGTATATGGAATATATATATGTTCATTGCAGCAATAATGGCAGAATAGTATATTCAATTGTTATATATTGCATATATGAAACTAGCATTAGGATCCCACTTTTTGAATGATATTTGTTGATATTAATCGTTATACATCCCATCAATAAGGAAATCCATTCTCCGATAGTGTCTTTTATCCCAACAATCTCTACCTTGTTTGTATATCATGAAAATAATACCACCCAAAACTGGCAAAGCTATAAGAGTAACAATAACTGGTAAAACATAATCAATTTTCTTTGGCATTCCTAAGCGTGAACCTGAGTAGTATGAGTTAGCATGATCTATAAATGCTTGCTTATCACTATAAGAATCTGCCTGTGTTCTAGTTGGTTTATGTTTATGTTCTCGGACTGACGATGCATTATTTATTACAGCTGCACTTGGTAGTTTCTGCTGTATCACATTTGTAACCTGCAAAGTACTATTTACAGTAGTATTTGAAACAACATTTGTATGCTTCTCAGTAATATTTGATTTTAATTCATTCATGTTTGTATCAATCTTTCCAATATTATGAACATTTGTTGTTGTTAAAGATTTAATTATTGTCTTCGTATCATTGGATGATATAGTTTCAATGGAAGAATTTGCTCCTTTCCTTGATACAATTTTAGAAGTGGTTTTTTTACTTTTTACATAAGGAACATTATCATCTTCTGTTGATACATTAACTCGTACATCTAAACTGTCTGTAGCATTTGTTATATATTTATGTGAATTAGTAGAAAATGTTGGTTCGGTAGTAGAAATAATTGAAATTGGGCCACCTTCTCCTGCAACTAAAGGGGTGGCAACATTTTTCTGTAATAACATTTACATATTTCAGTTATATATTTACTTGTCATTATTATATGTAGCTTATTTAAATAGAAAAGATTGTAAACATATTAAACAAACCGTTCGTTTTTTAAATGATATGATTTAAGTTTAAAGATAATTATTTCTATGCTTACTAATTGTCAAATACCATTACTACATACGTTTTGGGTTTTAGCAGAATTAACAGATTCAGATGTAAATTGAATTGGCGAAGATAAAGTTCGATGTTCAGTTTTGGAATCTCCATCAGTAAAGCTTGCATTTAACATTAACGTTAAAGTCGTATCACCATCTGTTTTAATTTCATCACTGATAGATAAGGTTAGAACAGATACGAGCCATATAAACAGAATTAATTTATGGAATTTCTGCATCATAAAGAAACTCATTATTTTAATTATAGAATTGTATTTCGTAATATGGCCAATTGCAGATAAATCTGGCTAAAACTTTTATAAAAATATAGAAAAACTAAAAAAAAAAGTGGTCTCAACCACTAAGAAACTTCTCGTTCCATCGTAAGCAGGCATTAACTATTGCGTAAATATGAACATGTAGAAACATATAGTATAAATATATTCCACTAATTGAATGCATAGGGTTTCACTTTCTTTCTGTTATGATTTTAAATAATTCAATTTCAGTAATTTATGTTTAAGAAAATATAAATTTAATTTCTTTCATTCTTTCTATTTTCTTTTTTTTTTATCTCTATACATCTCACATAATTGATCAAACACTTTTACGTTATCTAGTAAAGTAGTTTTTCTAACTTTCCAGAATAATTCAAATTGTTTGGTCCTGTTTTAAAAAAGTAATTCTGTTTGAAAGAATGTTTGATCAATTATGTGAGTAACTGTATATACATATATTTATCTTGTTGGAATTTTTCACATCAAGTTTTTATCCTATTATGGATAAATGAAAATGTAATGACAACAAAAAATATGAAGTTAATGGAGTTTCTAAATATAAAATATGTATATTTCTGATTTCAAACAAGCTTTATTTAAAATAAGAATTAATTTATTATTGATGAGGATAATCTTTATGTAAAAGTATAAAGATTTATTTGATATCAGGAATTAAATATGTAATTACACTTCAGACACCAAATAAGATTAGGAGATAAATCTTTTATAGACTTTTATTAATAGGAGCATAGAAATTTGATTGGATATGTTAAATTATTAGCCCATTTTAAATTTTAATAATTATGTTTTTTCTATAAAATATTTGTACTAACAGGATAGAAAGAGTGATGTTAAAAATACCAAGTATATTAAAGAAATTGTTAACTCGTATAATCATTTGCCACCCATTTAGTATAAAAAATTCTTAGTATATGATTAATACAAAAAATATTACAGTGATTGTGTATTGTTTACTTAATGTAAAAATTATTAATCAATCACATATTGTAGTGTAAAATATAAATTTTCGCATTAATCGTATCGACAATTATTTCAAAATATGGGCTATAGAAAGTTATATTAGATCCTCGATACGATTAACTTATCATTAAATGTGATAGCTACATACCGTCACGAAGAACATTATATAACATTACACATATATACATTGTACTTCGAAGCGGACAATACTTATATTTATATTATTATAGCATATACCTAAATGTTTAACATCATATTTATATTTTTAACGTTATTACATTTTTTTAATCCAATAATACAAACAAAAATATTTTTTTTATTATAGAATAATTTTATAATCAGATATTTTTGAACATTTTTATAATTAAAAAGATGCTTTCTAATATTTTATTAAGTAATTATTATATAAATTATATTCCACATATTAAGTTATTCTTTTTCATCATAATTCCGATCGGTATACATATGTATCAATAAATTTTCTCATAGTTCTGAGATATTAGGTCGTCCGAAAAGTTTCTTTCGTTTTATAAGGAAATAATGGATGCACAATATTTTTCGTTTTATATTATTTTATCGAATTACGTATGATCTATTTTGTTCTATTAAAATAAAGATCACAATGTTTGACAGATTATGTTTCATGTTTGTATAAAGATGCATCGTTATAAAAGACGTATTTGTAAAAGAAAGATACTTCCATTACCGCTTGTTACGATTATCGTGCTTCGTAAAGGGTTAAATATTGTTTGCCCGTTTTGTACATACTTATGTATCACGTTTGAGAAATTACTCTGTCGAAAAACACTCTGGAATAATAATAGGAATAGAGCTTAATAAAACACGAATATGAAAAGTACATTAGGAATTTTTTAATACGTACGACATCATTTATAACGTAAAAGTTTCCACTAAAAAGTATTGAATAGTGATTTTATCGCTATTTTCTAAGCTGTATGATTGATTAATAATTCTATATCGTTACCGTTTCATGACGATACCTATAGAATTATTGTTTTATAGAAGCGATAAAGATACGCTTGTAACGATTCTTGATATTTCATTATCAGATAACTCACAAGGTCATATTCGTCATTCTTTCTTCAGTATTATCATTGCCATTATTTTTTTATACTAACTTCCTATAAATAACACATATATATACGCATGTTTTCATTTCCATTTTCTTATATTATTATCTATTTTCCTATATTATTTACTTTCGTAGATTAAAATAAATGTAGAATTTATCTGAGAATAAAACTCTTTCGTAAAAGTCTCTTAATGTCTCTTTCGTAAAAGAGACATTCTAAACAATCCATTATTCGTGATATTTTCAATGTTTTGACGTTTGGATATTACTTGTATATACTAACTTTCATAACTCTGTTATCCAGAAAGGATTATGTTCAAATCCAATTTAAGCTCTTGTCTTAATATTTGTTTGATAACAATATCTAATTCAGTTTGTCAAAGTAATACGTTACGAATACGTTAATAGACATGTGACGCAATTGTGAACTAATACTTTATACTTCAGATATAGTTGAAAACAATTATGTAATACAAACAAAATTTAAATAATCTTAAACAAAATTATTGGTTTATCTTAAAAACGATGATAGATCGAGATTAATCACAAATCCTGTTTGTCTCATCATAAGAAATTACGTTCATTTACGTATAAGAGATAAAGCTAATCTCCGCGTAAGTTGAATAAAATACACGCATTGTGTTTAAAAATAGTTTTATTAATTTACTCTATTTTTTTCGTGATAATGAAAGATATGTGTCCATTAATGTACAAATTTTAAATATTCGTATCCTCCGATAAATAATTCATTGATATGATTTCATTACGTCGCATTAAAAATAAAGCAACTAATCTTTGTTATGCAGTTGTGACACATAAAAAAATTATTTATTTATATCTCTGTATAATTTATATAAAATTATATATAATTTATATATAATTATATAGTTGGAATAACGAAATTTTTACATACGATAATACCATAATAAATATAAAATATTACTGTATTTTTATTGTACTATTAATTACATTTATATCTCTTGAAAATAATTTATTTATGTCGATTAAAATTTTATTAATCTCTCCAAAAATCAAATGTTTATTTATGAGTCCATCCTTTATCATTGATTTAGTTTATCTTTAAATGTTATCTGTTTTTCGACCAAATTCTTTCCTATTGTCACCTGTCATTTAGACTCGATATTATATCGTTGATTTACTTTATTGAATTTTATTTAATTGAACTGATTATATTTCGTTGCAGATTACAGATATGGATTGGATTAGTCATTGAGAATATAATTCTTATTGATGTGATATATCTGTGATTGTGATATATGGAAAAATCGGATACGATCATTTAAAAAATAATATGCTATGATTACGTAGGTACATATATACGATGTCACTTTATAGGTATGGAAAGATCCACCCTCGTAATAATTTTTTTATATCCAATTACGTTTAACAAAGGCGAGCACGAGTTTCCGTAGTCGGTCTTTAAATAATTGATTTCCCGCTTGTCCCGTAAGTACAGACTGCATTTTATCTACGTCAAAATTCTCTATTTCTTTCGTATCCAATGTGAGCACCTTTATCATCCAGCTTACATGGATGAATTCACGTTCGGCATCCTCGACCAATTTCTCTTGAAATCCTTCCTTGGTATACAGACTCGTATTGCATCCCATTTTACTTAGCGTGTTTATGAAAGTTTCGTAATACAGATCCAACAGATCATCGATTTGCTCCTCCGTTGTATCGTTCTTTACGCTAGAGTAAAGGAAAAACAGCAGATCACGCACAGGACTTCCGTAAAGGTATATTTGGAAATCGACGAATTTTACGCCATCGATTTTCCCTTTTTCGCTACAATGGAACATCACATTGTTCACCCAGAAATCAGAATGAATGATGGTCGTCCATGGTTCTCGAAGAGCGTCAATCCAAAGATCTTCCATTTTCAACTGTGTTAAAATTTTCCTACATTTCTCGTAATAAGGACTTGTTTCCGGGTCATTCTTTATTTGATCGAGTACCAACGCAAACATATTATCCGCGTTGTCCTGTGAATGTTGTAAAGGTCTTGCGTACATCTTGAACACCTCAAAAATACCAGGTCTTTTCTCTTTCATAGCTATTCCTAAAGCATGAAATCTAGCCAAAGCCTTGACTGCTTCCTCTGCGTGCTCTAAGTCGTAACCTATATAAAACCATCAAACAGAATAATAAGAAAATAAAATTTCATTTTTTAAGTACAAATATCTTTCGAAATATTAGGTTTAGTAAATCTATAAGTAACTTGCTTAAAGTAAAATTTAATCGCTGTGTGCAAACAAATTTGTACGTATTATTTATTATAAATAGAATTTGTATAAGATGATCGAAATGAAGAAAATTTAACGATAAAATATAATTGAAAGGTCGTTAAAATTTAAATAAATTTTGTATTCGAAAAATCGAATACACACATACAACGAAAAATCGTTGAGAATGAGTTCTTAACATAGAAATCAAGGTATTTACGTATTAAGGATTTCTTTAAATTGTCAAGGATATATGAGCATGATTCAGCGAAAATACCAGAGTAAGAAATCTCGACGATAGAATCTCGGTAGATATCAAACGATTATATACATAAATACTTGTGTAAGATACTGAATATAACTAGTAGAAAAATCAAACATTGTTACTCGTAATTAATAACATATAAGTTTATAAATTAAAAGTGTATGAACATAGTTCGTAAAGAAAATTTTTATATTCAATTTTTCTAAATTAATTTTTTAAATTTTATATAAATTTTTATGTTAATTAAATTTTTCAGTGAATGTATTAAGTTTTACTTCGTGTTAATATTATTTTTATTTATATTATTTCATTTTTAATCTTTTCTATAAAAATACAGTACAGTTTTCTTCTATTAGTTCATAAGATAGGAACTGTTTCAAAGCAATTTATAACTAACAATCTTAAACGATTTTAAGAGAGAGTTGATTTATATATAATGTTAAAAATAAACATAAGATCAAACCGCTAATATTTCGTATTAACATTTTTTGCTTTAAGCAAACTTTAAATGAAATTTCACTATCATTTCGTTGTAAAAATGAGTGTCCCACTTTTTTTATCGGACAAATGATTCGAATAATTAAACCTTTAAACTTAAACGTAAAAAGTACAAAAGAGATATGATTAAAAAGATAGCTACATTTTAAAACGATGTACAATTTTATAAAAAGATAGCATACATACGCCCATATTTTTGTCATTACCACAAATATAAACATATTTTTCAGATTATTCGATATTTTATTTATTAAATTACTGTATTACAAAAATTTATTTAATATAATTATTTTACCTGTCCTTAATACTTCCAAAATTATGTACTAGACTGTAATAATGAAATTAAAATTTAGTCTATTCTCAAAGACAAATGGTAGTTAAGAATTTACTTAACAAATTATACCAAAGTAAATATACATACCTATAGATCGATCGCCTGTGTAGTAACCCTCAATTTTCAAATTCTCCATAAGGATAACAGCATCGTCATCGAATTCTTTATCCGGTTGTAGAGACAATCTAGATCCATAAAATTTTGGCAAAATCTCGAACACCTCGTTCTTTCTCAATCCACACTCCACTTCCAACTTGTTATAAGCTGGTAAAATAGTCTCGTACATAAAGATTTCTTTCATAAATGTACGAGAACTATTGAAAATTTCTCTCTGATATTCCGTTGGTGGACACATCTTTGCAATAAGATGAAGAGCTTCCTTCTTTCCAGTATTTTTATCCTTCAATTCAACATCGACGCTAAAAATCGAACTTCCGTAATTTTCTCCAGGGGGTAATAATGATTTGCTGGTATAATCCTCGATGATCATATGATCCCCGATCCTTTGACGCAGAACCGACTCGATATCACGGAGTACAACATTTTTAATTGTAAACGCATCGCTGTTGTCATTCATTATTATAGCAGAGAGAAGTACGCGAACGAGAGAAAAACGATCTAATAGTAAGTTTCCGATCGATCAGTCACAGCTGGCGAAAGAAGCACCGAAGAACAATTTGTAGGTTTTAGATATTGACTGAATTTATAAGATCGACTACTGACAAGATCACAAGATTAATGTTCTTATCAATTACTTCGGTGTGTGACTATTATCAGCAATTCTATCCGATACAAATGTTAACGGTTCTTTCTGGCAAGTCAGTATGATCCCAATAACCAACTTACGTATTGTCCTCAGTTCCACTTATCATGTACTCTTCATGATAATGATCGCTTCTACGCACGATCTCTCCCACTTGTTGCTTACAGTTCGACCTCGATTTTAAGAAGGAAATCAAATCTTTCAAAATATATGCCCGTGTTTCCTTTCTAAAATTTTTTTATTCGTGTAACATCTTAAAAATTATTTTATTTAAAGTTTATGTTTTCCTTTTACACGTTTAGACACACTTGTTAATTAGAAGTATTCTTTTAATTATATTACAGTTCATTTCACAGAATGAAAAGGTAAGTATATGATAAAAATTTTGTGACAAAAAGCATAAGTTTATTTATGAAAAAATATACTGATACAAAAATATGAAACAATAACAATACTATAACTCGTGCTTTATTGAAACAAATGTGTATATATCATATAAAGTTTTCATATCAATTGTTTCGCATAATGTACACGTACACCGTGTAAAGTTCGTCACATCCATCAAAATTCTTTTTATGCGAGACTTTATACATTTTCATATATGTATAACAATATCTTATATTATTTTAAATCGATATTTTCCCATTTTCATCAATTAGCTTGCTGTGAATATTCCATAAATTCTGTAAAAATAACACATTTTACAATTTATCATAACAAAAAAACGATTTATAATAATTTTTCAGATAATTCATTATATAATGAAATTATAACATTACAAGTAATATTCCGTAATACAATACCATTAATAAATTGTTATTAAACTATTAAATACCATTAAACAATTAATGGATATTATTAATGTAGATTAATTATATAAACAACATAAAGAAAAGATGTAATGTTTTTGTAATAAACAATAAAATAAGGAGTACAGAATTCTCAATTTGCTCTAATTTAAAAAGAAACAGAAAACAAAAATACAGATATGTAATCCATATTTATGCAATGTTAAAAAATATAACTACCATTTTAACTGTTTTGTATTGAACGACGAAGGATTGCATCTCCATCTTCTTCAATCAATTTTTGATGTGTAGCACTGAGAGCCTGCATATATCATACAAATTCAAAAGTTATGAATTAAGTTCCAATTAGAATACAAATATCTAAAATTTTTACTTTTCAAATATTTTAAACAAAAGTTTTTAAAATTGTAGGAAATTTATATTTTATACCTTGAAATATTTGACTGTCTTCACACGTAATTCTAGAGTTGCATCCTCATCACAAATAATTATTGTACGAGGATGTTGTTGAAAAGCTGATACAGTCCACATATGATTAATTCCTTCTTCTATTGCTTTGTAAAGAGCAAATGCTTTATGAGATCCTGTGATAAGAATCATTACTTCTTTGGCATCCATCACTGTGCCAACACCAACAGTCAATGCTTGATTAGGAACTTTAGAAATATCATTTCCAAAGAATCTCGCGTTAGCTTCTAACGTATCTTGTGCCAAAGTTTTTACTCTTGTACGTGATGCTAAAGATGAACCTGGTTCGTTGAAAGCTATATGACCATCTGGGCCAATACCTGAAACACAATATTTTGTCTTATATCCAACTAATTTTTTATATGAATTTATTTGTTATATTATAAATTACATACCACCAATAAACAATTCAATACCACCAGCTTCTTTAATCTTAATTTCAAAATCATCACATTCCTTTATAAGATCAGGTGCATTACCATCAAGAATGTGTACATTTTGTGGATCTATATCTATATGTTTAAAGAAATTATTATACATATAGTAATGATAAGATTCTGGATGGTCCCTGGGCAAATCAACATATTCATCCATATTAAAGGTTTTTACATACTTGAAGGAAATTTTTCCTGCTTTATAGTATTCTATAAGTTTTCTGTACATCCCTAAAGGAGTACCACCTAAAGATGATAATCAACCATTGTAAATTTATTTTCCACAATTGTTGCTAACGGACATACATTAAATATTTCCCCCCTTTTTCTTTTTCTTTTCTATTTGTAATACATGAAAGATAATAACATATACAGTAATACATACCTGTTGGAAGACCAAGAACAAAATATTTGTTTTCATTTGGTTGAAAATCATTAATTCTTTTTAAAACATACTTAGCAGACCATTCTGCCACATAATCAACTGTATCACAGATTACTAAACGCATTTTACAATTATGTTCTAATTGAACACTGAAAAAATTATAAAATTGTAAACACAATCGGAAAATATATATCGAAAAAATTTAAATAATTTATAAAAATGAAATATAATTCTTCAATAATATGACTAACATCTCAATTAATTATATAAATATGCACAGTATAGTTTTATCAGTTCTCGATAATATATTTATGCGAGTATATATGCAGAGATATCGTTATGGCAAAGAACTTATCTGAACACACGGAATATTGAGATCACAGAATTTCAGATTCAAGTTTTATATTATCTTTATCTTTACATGAAATATTTCATTTGTTAAAGTAAATTTTATATAAAAATTTTATTCCGATCTTTTCTCTCTGTTAGTCTTTATTTTTAAAATCTTGAAGACGCAAATGTATTCAATAGATACATATTTTATCACTGTCAAAAACTTATTTCGAATACATATTTATTATGTCGTATGTGGTGCGCATGTTTTAAATGCAGGAATGTTGAATGGACTTCGGTAATTTATTTTAAAGGTCAATAACCAATGGTCATTACTCTTTAAAAAACAAATATTAAGTATTTCTAACTAATAAGTTTTAATGTTATTCATTTTTATAAATTCGAATGCTACAACAACTCTGACATATAATAATTTATACTTGCTGCAAGAAACCAAAAAATGAAAGATAATAGAAGTATACTAACCTGAAGAAAAATTAAGAATTACCTACTCTTACAGTAGTTGGTCAAACATGAAATCAGCTGACATTCAACTGATGCCACTGATGTGAATGACCTAATCTCGAGCCTTTACTACTTAGCAAAAGATTTAATATATATTCCACTTATAGGTGTTGTTAATACTTGAAAATAGATTCTTATACAAAATAAACTAGCTGATAAATCGAAAATAAAATATTTATTATATACCCTTATTACATATATATTTTCTTTTTTTGAAATCTAATAAACGAAATATATATTTCCTATTATTTTCTTTTTATTATAATTTTAGAAAGAAAAGTTAATTATATGTAATAGATATGTATCAGAACAAATATATATTTTATACTTAGTATCAATTAGTGCTTATACATACATATGTATATAAGTAAATACTTCAATGGTGTATGTAATTTAATATCAAAGTAGCTCAGAATTTGGCGGGAATGCGATCTTGATGTTTCTATAAATGCTGACTGAGAGATTCACATTTCTTATGTTATGAAAATCTTAATTTTTGTGTATATTGCATAAAATTTATAACGTTGCAATGCCAGACGTGACAATTAATAACGTTATTGTAAATTTTCCTTTTAAACCATATTCGATACAAGAAGAATATATGGTAAAAGTGATAGAATGTCTTCAAAACGGTAAAAATGGTGTTTTGGAATCTCCAACTGGTATTATTCACTTTTTTTATTATTATATATTAGTTAAGAAATATTAAAACTAATTCATAGAAATGTTATAGGTACGGGGAAAACACTCAGTCTTCTGTGTTCTTCTTTAAGTTGGTTATTAACAAAGAAAGCTCAATTACAAGCACAATCATTAATAGGTGCAATTGAGAAGCCTGATTTTGGTGGGCATTTTTTTAAGCAATTGAGTAATGGACTTAAAGAAGGAACAGGAGATTCCAAGCCTACTAGTAATTTAGGTTGGGCACCACCAAAAATTATCTATGCATCTAGAACTCATTCCCAACTTTCGCAAGCGATGCAAGAATTAAAAAGAACTTCCTATAAACATGTAAGCACAGCTGTTTTGGGATCTCGAGATCAGCTTTGTATTCATCCAGAAGTTTCCAAAGAAACTAGTAGTTCAAACAAAATATATATGTGTCATTCTAAAATCAAATCTAGGACATGTTTCTATTACAATAATGTTGAAAGCAGGTAAAAAAACTGTAATATTATTATTTGATAAAATTGATAAATTTTTTTGTTAGCAAAAAGTATTGATGAAGAAATATATGTTTTAGGAAAGATGATCCTCTTTTTAAACAAGAAGTACTTGATATAGAAGACTTAGTAAAAGCTGGACAAAAATTTAAATGTTGTCCATACTTTTTGTCCAGGGAACTTAAACAGAATGCAGATATTACCTTTATGCCTTATAATTACTTACTGGATTCAAAATCACGGAAGACACAAGGCATAGATATCCAAAATAATATTATTCTCTTAGATGAAGCACACAATATTGAGAAAACATGTGAAGAAGCAGCATCATTACAGGTATTAAATTAATTTATATTTAATAGCAATTATTATTAATCTAAGAAAAATTGAGTAAAATTAAGTTGGTAAAATATATATAGAATTTATTCTACATAAAATTTCTGTAGATATGTAGTACAGATATTGCAATGTGTATTGATGAAATAACAGCTGTAATGGAAGATATGGCTAGTAATGTTGAACAAGAAAATGATTTTTCAATGGAAAATTCAGGAAATACTGTAAAAGATTTTACTGCAGATGACTTATGTATTTTAAAAGCTATGTTTCTGGAATTAGAGAAAGCTATTGATGCTATAGAAATCCTAAACCGCAATGAGGGAGATACATTTCCTGGTGGATACATTTTTGAATTACTAGGAAAGGCACAAGTATATAATTAATATTTTCTAATTTGTATAATTGTGTAAAGTAGATAAAAATAATAAATATATTCAACAGTTAACTCATGGCAGAGAACAACTTGTAATAGAAAAGTTGGAGAAAATTGCTTTTTACTTAACAACTACAAGCACTTCTCCATTTACGAGAAAAGGTCATGCACTTCAGAAATTCAGTGACCTATTAAAAACTGTATTTAGCAGTGGTAATAGTCCACGCTATAGAGAAAAAATCAAACAATGTTATAAAGTGTATATTCAATTAGAGGAACAGAAAAAAACAAAACAAAATGAAGTTTGGGAAACAAAAAAAATACTTAAAAAGAATGAAAGCAAAGTTATCAGTTATTGGTGTTTTAGTCCTGGATTTAGGTAAATCTTTCTTTTATTACTGCATTTAATTTTGAATAGACTGTATTGATGTATTTGTATATTAATTACAATAATCAAGTATGCAACAATTAATGGACCAAGGTGTGCGTTCAATAATATTAACAAGTGGTACATTATCTCCTTTGAAACCTTTCATATCTGAACTTGGAATACCAATTGAACTTCAATTAGAAAATCCGCATATTGTCAAAGGAGATCAAATTTGTGTCGGTGTCCTTAGTCAAGGACCTGATGGTTATTCATTAAATTCTTCTTTTAATACAAGGTATTTTTATTAAATATGTTGTATATAATATATAATTTCTTTCATAATACATCATGTAAAAAACATAATTTGTATTTTAGAAATGATCCAAAATATATAGCATCTCTTGGGCGAACAGTGCTTAACTTTAGTTGTATTATTCCTCATGGTCTATTAGTTTTCTTTCCTTCATACCCAATAATGAAAAAGTGTAAAGAAGAGTGGCAAACTACAGGTTTGTGGACTAAAATTGCAGATCGTAAAGTAATTACCTTTAATTAATTTTAATTTCAATAATATTCAAATGATTATAGTTATATATTATAACTAAGATAGTAGAACTTATTTATTTATATTTATCAGCCTATATATGTAGAACCTCAATACAGAGATGGTTTTATAAATGTTATGAATGAGTATTACGAAAAAATTAAAGATCCCTCTTGCAAAGGTGCTATTTTTATGGCAGTTTGTAGGGGTAAAGTGAGTGAAGGGCTTGATTTTGCTAATGCAAATGGAAGAGCTGTATTAATTACAGGTCTTCCATTTCCACCTTTAAAAGATCCGAGAGTTATATTAAAACAACGGTATTTAGAAGAAATGAAAAAACAAAATAAAGAGGTAATTAGAATTGAGATATTAAACATTCATCAAGTATGTTAATTTTATGCATCTTATTCCTCTTCAGGCTTTGTCTGGTCAACAATGGTACCAGCTTGAAGCATCACGAGCTGTTAACCAAGCCATTGGCCGCATAATACGTCATAAAAATGATTATGGAGCTATAATTCTTTGTGACTGTCGATTTGATAATCCAAGTTTTAAGAAACATTTATCTGCTTGGCTCAGACCTCATATAAAAAATTTTACCTCTTTTGGTATTATTATGAAAGAGCTAAAAGATTTTTTCAGATATGCAGGACACACTGTAAGTTTAATTTTATAAAAAAGGAAACATACTTAAGTATTGTTACTTTATAATTATTTTCAGTTTCCACAACCGAATATGCTTGGTGTACAATTTACAAGCAGTTGTGTTTCTTTACCAGCAATATCAGCATCATTTGATACAACCGTGTCTCGCACCGGAAAAGCTACTTTGAAGCAAAAAATTGAAACCCCTTCAACTAAAGATATCTTCAATATTGATTCTTATATTAAGAAAGATGAGAAAAGTAAACAATTGGTTGAAACACAAAAAAGAAACTTGTTTGAACTTTTAGAAACAGAGTCAAAGCCTGTAATTAATTTTAGTAATTGTAAATTAAGAAGTGATTATACCACTTGTGAACTAACAAAAAATATCAGTGAACCTGCCACAAAAAAAAGGAAAATAAAGATGTTACCAATAGAATTTAATGAACATTTATCTGGTGCTTCAACTTCTTCATGTGTAAATAGGGATCATACAGACAATACAACATATTCTCAACAAATATTTGAAGAAACTAATAATAAAGAAACTGATAAAAAAGCTTTAGGCAAAGCATATTTAAAGGAAGTAAGTAATCATCTGCGATTATAACTAATTATGATTAATTATAAATATACATAATGAATAAAAGTTTAATTAACAAGAAATTTATGTTGCAATAACTTTGCATATAATACATTCCTTAGGTAAAACGATCTTTATCAGAAGCTGATTATAAAATTTTTGCGAAAATGATACAGGACTATACAAGAACAGGCAATCTGGAGGAATTGTTGAAAATACTTCAAAATCTATTTTCCCCTAATAAGGAATTGCTTCATTTATTTATAGGTATTTTATATATATTAATAAATATATATGTAGACCAATTAATGTGTGATATTATAATCCCTTATTGATCTAACACAATTTCTAGGTTTTAAATATTTTGTAAAGAAGCAACACATTTCTGTATTTGAAAATCATATTACTTTGATCACAAATACACAAACGTAACAGTAAACATAGAAAAGAATTCAAAGATTCATAACATTTTAATATAAAGAGTTATTATTAAAACCACGTTACAAGTAAGTATTAACGAATTAAACATATTTTATAGCTTTATCCATATCTAGATTAATATAGATTCATATTTATTTCCTGAGTTTACATCTTCAAGATCTCACAACCCCTGAGATACTTGTAACAGTATACAGTTCAAGATCATGTTGAAGCAAGATCATTTTAGCTTAAGATCATCCTGGTTCTTGTATATTAGTATAGCCTAAGGTTGTGGTCACAAATCTTGTGTTGTCTGACAATTTTTCATCATTGTTTTAGAAGTAACGCCGTTTTGAACTAACATGATGATTTTCGCAAAACATATCTCAAAATTCTATAGGATGGTTTAACCATATATCTCGAATTTGTTTAACATTTTTTTGGAAAAGTTTTAGAAAATATCTTTGTGCAATAGGATTGTATAAATAAATATATATTATTATGGTTTTAAAGAACTTATATTTCAGCAGTGAACGTTTGTTACTTGATATTCAAAAGCAATTTGTATAATATACAATAAATATAAGTTATAATATAAGTTTTCTAATAAAAATGCGGAAATATGTGTTTTTATTAAAAAAAATAGAATGTTGTATGTATATCAGAATCCATATAGCAATTTATGAATTACATTTGATGTAATAAATAAACTTAAAATGATTTTAGTTATTTCAAAAAATGCAATAAAATTTAATTATGAATTAATTTAATTTTTGCGTGTATATACAAATATATGTTACATATTTTTTCATTATAAATTTTGAATACAATATTTAAAATAACATTTGGAAATCATGTTAAAGCATCAAATATAAAAAATAAGTTGCAGCTCATCATAATATGCAACTACAAAGTAAAGATTAAGTTACAGTTAACTTGTATGTAAAATAGTGATTGCATATAGTTAAAAACAAATAATTACTATTTGCAATATATGTGAAAATTGTTTTTTCCTTTTTATAAGTATTTTTCACTCATACAATTAATTGTATCATTTATAACTTACATCAATATCAGAACTTTTTCTGTATAACGTTTTTGTTTTTATGTTTTTAATATATATTCTTTATTTTCTTTTTTTTTTTTTGTTAGAAAACTTAACGTATGAAAACAAATAAATTGTTACTTTAAGATATATATGTCACTTATTTTTTTAATTAATGTGCTATTTTATGAACACATAAATATGTTTCCCTTACAAAAATTGATTTAAAATCTCAATTGCTTTACAAGTCCATGGTATGAATTGCACTCATATCTTTATTACTTTCAGTTTCTTTTTTAATAAGTGCATTAGTAATGATTTCTTGATAATATTCTCCAAATACACTTCGATTATGAGAAATAAGTATCAAAAATTGAGCTACTATAGCTGTTAATTCTTCTTGTAGTGATGAAAGTCCAGGTGGAACTTGTTGTGGTGCCGTAGATTGAGATAATATTATTTTTTGTAAAAATTGCCGAATTCTTAAATCTAAAAAAGGTATACAAAGTAAATAAGATGTAAAATAAATTTTATAGGTCCCATACAATACTTACTTATAAGGTGCCTTATTTTATGTTCTGGATTGATGAGATCCAATATTTGTCCTTCTAATAATGTTTCTATCTCTGGAGATAAGGAAGCAGCATTAATTTCGTGCAATGTCGTTTTCAGGTCTGTTTTTACTTGTAATACAATATTTGGCATTACAGTTTCCAAATCCCTATTAATAGTTAGTACGAAAAATTTAATTTATGACTACATATATATATATATATATATATATATATATATATATCAGATGTTATTATGTACATACTTATTTGAATGTACAGAATCTAACAACACATTAAGATGTTGTTTAATATTCTTCTTAAAGTTTGATACACCATGAATTGGTGCACCTACTGTATTATTTACTAGCAATATTACAGATCCTATAATGCTTAATCTGCTGGTCTTATCACGCAATTCCAGTAATCTACTTTGATCAAGCATCAAAGTCTGTAAAAATGATGGCAATAAAATTTGTATTATTATTAATTCAAATAACCGAGGATTGACTATATTATTAACACAAATAGTTGCATATGTACTTCTGCATCTGGACTAAAATCCCATTCTAGAAGATCAAGATACGCTTCAGTTAAAAGACAATGGGTAAGCTGACGAGCTGCATTAATGTCAGACGAACTGCTCATAATATTTGTTGGATCAAAATGCCTCAACAACCATTTTTCTGTAAATTGTAGACCATTTGTATTAACTTTTAAGAATTCAGCGAACTTGGCTTTCTCGTATTCAATACTTGAAGCAACTATATTTGGTCTCATCATAGTAATGGTAAAATTTGCCAAATCAAGTCGCATTAATTGCAGTACTTCCATTATTCCTTTGAATATTTCAATAACATGTGTTTCTTGACTAAGTTCTCGAATCTTCTCGTCTCTTACTGGCGCACAAACTTTACTCATAATGGATATCACATATTGTGCATAATGATGGAAGTCCAAAACACCATTTTCTGCTTGCTGTTTAATTAAATCCACATCAAGTACTTCTTTTAAATTTTCTCGAATTTTTGCATGATGTGGTAATACTAGTTCATCTAATGTCTATAAAACAGAAAGATTATTGAACATATGTAGATACAAAAATCATACATTATTTCATAAAAGCCATATAAATATACTACTTCTTTAATTTCCTTCAGTAGAACCAACGCTTGTGTATAATTTGGAGGATTTTCATCTAATTGCTCTGCTAATAAATTCCAAAAAGCTTTATGCATAATTTCTTTTACTTTTCTATGAATTGTGCCATCATCAGGTTCAAGTTTTTGTAATTGAAAATTTTTATCCACCGCAATTTCATGTGCTAATGCCATATTTTTCATGCCATTTGCAGCATTTATGATTTCTTCGAGAGAAACAAATTTTGGTGGTGATGCTCCTATTAATCCACCTACCACAAAATTTGGTGTTTTTTGCCTGTGTGATACACATTTAATTACGAAAAATATTAATATAAAATCTGGACATATCTATTGATGAATAAATTAAGAAAATAATCATATTATATTTCAACTAAAAAAATAATAATTTACCCCTTTGCATTTTCTTCTTCTGTCTCAAGATGAGAATCAGATTTACAATCTACAGGTACAGATGTGCTAGCTTCATTGATATTGGATTTTTGTTCTTCATTGTTTTCCATTTTTTGATTCCTATATAATAGTATGTATTATTAACATTTAATTGTGATAACACACATACAAACTCCATTATATAAATACCATTAGTCTATAGCAATAAATAACATAACAAATAATAAAACACAATACACATTGTAAAATATAAACAATAAAACAATATTAATTACTTACTGTTAAATATTATACTTAATATTCACCATTTGATTAATAAATAGATAGGATATATAACACACAGTAATCATTACATATAAAATTATAATTAGTGTATTAAAACTAATAAACAATTATATAAGTAACACTACAGATCTCAGATTATGCAAATGTACACTGACTAAAACAAAATATCAGAAATAAAATCTAACAATGCCATTGAATATGAACGTTTACAACTAATAAAGAGGCAGTAAAAAGTTATACCCCACATTACTCCAGCACTAACCAAAATTTTATTCCTAACAAAATATGTACCATTTTAGCATATGTTTAACAATATTTAAAAACATGTAAATTTGTTTTGAACAATATAAATAATAGAAAATTTGTTTCATATAATTCAACATATAATTATCATAATAATCTTGTCTTTAGAAATAAAATTGAAAAATAAATATGTGTCGAATAATATTTCCTTAAATCAGATATATTGTAAAAAAGAAATATTTTATTATTCCACCTCGTAAAATTTAAATTTGCCTCCAAAAGTAGTTTTCTTAATAAACAGATATTTTATAATTAGATAATAAATACAATAATTCATATAATTAGCATAGATTCTTTACTATGTGATTAAAATGTTTTATAAATATATGAAAAGTATACCTATCTGGCATGATTAATTTTTGATTTAACAGTTTTGTTGTAGCATGATCAGCACTGAGAAACAGCTGGCACTTAAATGCAATAGATATTGAAGACAAGGAGGTCAAACTTTGTCTATAAAAAGAACATTCACAAGGTACATATAAGAACAACCCTCCTTATTTGATTTTAAAAGACTGATATAATATTTCTATGTTTTAATAACCTATCTCAGATTTACACTTATATCTGCTACATATTTAATATATGATATTAAAATAATTATTGATTATAATATATTTCATGTTATTTTCTAAAATATTTTATACTATGTATATTAAATACAAAATCATTATAAATATTTGTTTGTAAAACAAAAAATAAATAAAATTACTATATGTATACTTACAAAAGTTTTTCATAGATTAACATTATATTTCCATTTTTTATTTAGAATTTAAAACTTACCATAGTTTCTATATTTTATAAAAAAAAATGCACCTTTCGCAAAAGTTTAGTTTCTAAATATTTTTGCTATCAATTCTAGATATTTTATATCAAAAATAATAATTTATGCATATCGCTCGAAATATTTTTCTGAATGCAATTTTTTTTTACTTTCTAATCAAACAACGCATGTATATGCTGATCAATTTACAAACAAAACTAAATTTGCAATATTGTATACATAAACTTATTTTTTACCATTTATTTATTTAGAAACGAAAGAATACGAAAGTGCCTTTTTCTAGATTTAATTATATTTGATAATTTGCAACTTAATTGAGGAAACATATTTACACTTTCACTAGAAAGTCGAAATGCGTAAAATAATATCTAGACTTGTTTTACCAAAACATTCCAATGTTTTTACATAATACAATTCACATTTCTATTATAAATTTACCAGCAATTTTATATATAAATTGTCATGTTGAAAAATCAATTTTGTTCCAAACAACTACGAATTGTGTATTTACAACTTTTTAGGTTGATGCTCAACAGTAAACTTAGAATATATAAGACAGTAGCGTCCTCTGCAAATTGTCATTTCTTAGTTTTCGCAAAATTATTTTTATTATTACCATAATTATCTTTTATATTCTTTTATAGATATTTATACTTCTACGTACTATTTCAAACAATAACATGATACATTCAGGAAATAAAGATATGTACATTATTCATACATTTAATACTAAGGACATTAAACACAATAGTATTAAAAAATATATACAGTGTAATTTTACGCTTAATTAAAAATGATACTGTTTATAAATGACAAGACATACATATGTAATAAACTATATGCATGTAATATAAGCCAAGAATCAAAAACCATACTGAGCTATTCCATAAATTGAAATTTATAAAAAAATAACGATTACAAATATTATTTTTAAAACTTTACTTTGGAATTTATGATTACTTATGCTGCTTTTTTGTGATACATAAATTCACGAAATTAAGTTGTTTTTTAAGATATTGAATGCTTAAATACGGATTGCTTAAATACAAAATAAGGAGTTGAATAATTTGGTTTCAAAGAAGTTCATATCTATAGTAAAGTCGTTACAATAATGATGATGATACATCAGATCTTAAGAATTTCAAGGTGCAGACGAACCATTTTCGGAAATAATATGAGTCACTGTTGTCCACCTTGAATCTTACAAAGGTTGTATAGGTACTAATAAATGAATTAGTCAGAATATGTTTTTGCACAAAAGTAAGTAAAAATACAATGTATATTTAACGATTATCCTTCGACTTTTTAAATAATTCATATTAACTTACAATTCATAATACTATATATAGTATGACTAATGTAATTGTTATTATACATAATTACAATTTCTTATCAAAAATATAATATTATTTCACGTTAAAGAAAGCGTTTTTAATTATTTTCTCTATTCATTAATCAGTTTCATTTGCCCAAATTAAACGAACATATGCAAACTTATGTATAGGTGTTTTAAAATCATCATATATATATCTTGTATACCTATAATGGTAAAAATATTTGACTTCCCAAGAAATCGGTTGACCACGTATTTGTACATATGTATTTACTACCTAAGTATTTAATTACACACCTTCTTATGACCAATTGATAAGGATGTCCCATAACTTGTTAATCGAGAAAATTTCTACGATTTTCAAAATGTCGGTTCATCGCGCGGTTTTTACTGGAAGGAGAATCAAGCTTCCCTATTAAATTAGAAGAGTCCCTGAGATTCATTTGATATGTTGACACTAAGAACACACTTTATATAAAAAATTACTTAAAAAAAACAAATTTCTTTGAAATTTTTTACATAAATAAAAACATATGTATTATCAATTTTTAACGTTAGCTTTTCTGTTGATTCTCAAGGAAGGAAAAGGAAAAGATTTAAGCTAATATAATAATAATGATAGTTTAATATAATGATTTATAAGAAAAAATCATATATTTATGTTATATGTACATGTATATATATTCATATATAGTCATTTTGAAGACAGATTCAATGAGTTATAACAGTATACATAAATATTTTAAGATCAGCGAAAGTCACAAAGAAGAATTTAAATTCTATTTAAATGCCGCTGGAATGTTGAAAAACAAATGAAAAATTGTAAGGAGTTGAAAATTAACACCACATTATACTTATTACTTACGCAGAAAACTTTGCTTATACGATTTTCGCTGACATATCAGTATTATACTTAGTGGCATTCTGAGTGTTATAGATCGTTGAATTTGGCTTCAAAATGGCTATAACTTACAAACAAACAAAATGTAACATTCGATAAAAATACAAAGTTGGTCTTTTTATCTCGTTAACTTTCTGTAACACACAATAAAACTATTTTTGCTATTCATTGCTTCCTATAAAACTATGTAATTTCTGTAAGAAACATTTTTTCAAATTTTGTGTTACAATGGAAATATATATTTCAGATGATAAAATTAAGTGATAGGTACATATGTACGTTCTGTATGCTTCATTTGTATTAGCATGAAGTTGCGCGATTATCTATATGGAGTATGCGCGGCTGTCATTCGTTAATAAATTAAAATTGTAATAAATATTTTAACATATTTACAAATCTTATTCCCGCTGTATAACAAATTTCTCTGGAATTGTTTCAAAATCGATGTATCGTAAATACGGCAAGTTGTTTCCCAAAGAAATTTGGTAATGGAGTGTCCTGTGCCATTCAAGTATAAAGGGAAAACTATAGAGCGACTTCCAGTCGTGCGTATGGATAATAGAACCGGCCACACGCGCTTCCTCCATATTGCGTAAGGCCAAAATTGGCCCGTCAAAAATGTTAAGCTACGGTAGAGTTATAGGACGATTGCCAAAACTTACGAGACATTCATATGCCAATCACTATTGTCGACCTTCAAAATATGTTGGTAAGTACTGATATACTTAATTTTCAAAAACGTAGTTTTTAATTTATATCAATTTTTCTTCTGCTACTGAACTTGTTAGTATTTTCCAATTAAATATTAAGTTAAATCTTTTATTTGACATTCTAATTACAAACATTGACAGTAAAATCTTATAATTGTATATACACATTCAGATGATACTATCTTTCAATTAATATTCTGTTAAATTTTTATCCGGTTTATTTATCTGAAAGTACACCATGCGATATAACCTCAAAGCCAGACAATGTATACATTTTTTCAATGTATTTGTTTCATATGATGTTATTGATGAAAAAAATCCTTTTACTAAATGAAGCCTAAAAGTTGTGTAGAGCATATTATTCAATTACGATTATTTCATAATGCTTATTTTTCTTGCAGTAAAATAATTACTAATTTTATTTATATTTAAACAATTTCTAAATTAATGTTTAATGAGAATTATTCTTAAATTAACTATTATTATATTTTTCTGATTTTAGGAATATTTAGTGTTCATAATTTATGGTATAGTAGCAATACAAATGATAAAGCATTTAAACCTCCAGGGACCACCATAAAACCAGAAGAATGTGTACCTGAAAGTAGTTATTCCAAACAAAACAGGATTGTTCCTATATGTGAGTCTCATCCTAATGCATCTTGTCCACCATCTTGTTATGAAATTTGCGGAAAACCAGATGATTCGAAGAAACCAAATGACAAGAAGCCTTCATCGCCATATTGGAAAATATTAGCAACCTTGTTCATAGCAGGAGTTACAATATATGCGGTATGATACTAGAGATTGCTTTGTATATCATGTCTTATTTGTGCTTTTGATTATAACAGATTATAATATTATAAATTTTTTGTTTTTTCTTTCTTTTTAATATTTTCATTGAAACATGTAGATATCTTCTTCAAATTGGTTTACTATGAAAAAAACAGATTCTCAAAAGGATGTAAGTAAGAGTAAGTTGAATAAGAGCTTGTACTTATAAAATATTTTTTTAAATGTAGATGTTCATGATTAATTTATGTTTATGTCACATAATTAGGAAAAAAGAATGGAAGGAGACTTAGAAGATCACTTGAAAAAACTAAATCTCCACCTACTTCTAGTTCATTCCCTTCAGAAATACCTTATCTTTTAATAGGAGGTGGAACAGCTGCATTTTCTGCATTTAGGTCTATTAAATCTAGAGATCCTAGAGCTAAGGTGCTTTGTAATAATTTTGTTTCTTCATTTACTGAACTAGGATCTAATAACATAACCAGTATTTTCCTTAGGTTTTAGTAATAACAGAAGAAGAAGATTTGCCATATATGAGACCTCCATTATCCAAAGAACTTTGGTATAATAGAGATAGAAAAATAAGTGCGCAATTACTTTTTAAGCAATGGAATGGTGCTCAAAGAAGGTAATAATCGAATGATCATTTATTCAAATAGAAATTCATTATGTTTTTATATAGTTAGTAGTTTATTATATATTATGTTTACAGCATATTTTATGAACCACCAGAATTTTATTCAGATATTACTAATTTGAGTCAATCTGAAAAAGGTGGTGTGGCTGTAGCCACAGGCTGGAAAGTCACAAAAATTGATGTTCCAAACAAAACTGTGATGCTTGATGATGGTTATGAAATAAAATATGACAAGTGTCTTATTGCAACTGGTAAGTATAATTAATTTATATTTAAAATTTACATACAATTTTCATTATAATATATTTATAGGTGCATCACCTAAAAATCTACCAGTTTTTGAATCAATGCAAGATGAACTTAAGGATAAAATCGTAACCTTCAGAACAAAAGAAGATTTTCTTGATTTAGAAGATGCTGTGCATGATCCTAAGTATAAAAATATAGTTATAATTGGTGGAGGATTTCTTGGTTCGGAACTTGCCTGCTCATTAGCTCGTAATTGTAGGTTTTTATTACATCTTTTATTATTAATACCATTGTTTAATTAATTATTAACATAAAATAATAATTAATTTTATTATTATTTAGTACCTGAGAATAGAAAAGTATATCAAGTATATAAAGAGAAATTTATAATGGATCAAGTATTACCACAATACTTAAGCGAATGGGCAACAAAGAAAGCAATGTTAGAAGGTGTTAATTGTATTGCTAATTCTGAAGTAGAAGATTATTCTTATAAAGGTGGACAATTATCACTTATCCTTTCGGATAATCGTGTTGTACGTTTTATTTAAATATCTACACAAAAATAAAAATAATAATGAAAGTGATAGTTTGTTGATAAGTGAGTGATCATTCTTTTTTTTTCTTTTTTTTGTTTACATGGAAAGATTGATGCCGATCAAGTGATTGTAGCAGTAGGTGTTGAACCAAATACTGATTTGGCAAAAGCTTCACATTTAGAAACAGATCCTGAAATAGGCGGTTTTCTTGTTAATGCGGAATTAGAAGCAAGGAGTAATCTTTGGGTTGCTGGAGATGCAGCTTGCTTTTATGACATTAGACTTGGTAGAAGAAGAGTAGAACATCATGATCATGCTGTAATCTCAGGAAGATTGGCAGGAGAAAATATGACTGGTGCAAGTAAGTTAAGATTTTCTCAATATATGCT